GGAGGTACATTATAAAGGGTGATTATTGTCGTGAAGAGTGAATCTGGATGGATTTAGAGCCCGGATCTCTCTAGGGTAGCGTTTTGTTGCCTTTCGATGGAGGTTTGGGTGTCAAAGCCATCCAACAAACATATAGACAATGAAATAAATAAATAAAACTCTCAACATATCCGTTAACTTTCTTTTCTGTGTCGTTGATGCCCAAGTACACTCTCCTCATTTGAGCAAGGATCCCATTGCGCCTCAGCCATAAGAGATGATACCTACGAAAGCTTTATCTCTTTAAAGGATTACTTGAGGCCAAAATGAGTCAGAGTTGCACGACAATAAATCTATATATTTTTATTAAAACAAGTAAATAAACTCGAGTCGGAACTGGCGCATTCCTTTTCAGTGATGAATAAAAGAGCCCTCGCTATATTCCAGGCATTGGGTAAAGTCGTATAGGTAAACTTGAGCATTGCTCAGTTTCGCCTACTCGTTGAAGCTCACGTGAACGTGGTCCCTATATCTTGTCAGCTCAAGTTCAGATGTGAGGAGAGAGAAGGATGCATACCAATGATTCTGAGTAATGGATCCACGATCCTCCATGGGTCGCCATTTGGACCACGATTTTACACTATCCCTCGAAGGATTCCAGATCTTCTGACCCCAGATCACGTACTTGAGGTTGAGTGCTTTGCGGTTCAGCATGATCCATTCAGCGATCGCCTTTCCAGAAGTGGTCTTGACCTGTAAAAAGAGAGGTTAGTCTCATGAGCAGATGCAACGTCCTAGAGAGAGAGGACACTTACACCACCAGCCTTGGAGCACATCAAGTCGACAGCGAGACCACAGCAATGGTCACTATCACCAGGGCATGAGCAGTTCCTTGTGCAATAGATTTGGCGAACTCGTCCAGGGAGTGCTGCAACAATCTTCTTGGCTCCATCCACCGACCTCTTCTTGCACTTTCCAACGGAAGGGAAAGTCGGTTTCGGATAAGAGGTGTCACTGTTGGTACTCGAGGTCGTAGTCGTGCTTGTCGAACCCGAGCTTGGAATGCAGCATTTGAAGTCGTTGGGACCAGGGCACAAGTTTGAGACTGTAGAGCCGGAGCATTGGCTTGTCCAGCGGCAGTTGCCGCCAGTGCCGCAAGACGTCTTGGTGCAGCACTTGATATCGTCGGGGGTGCCAGGACACTTGTTGCTGACGTATTTTCCGCCTGCAGCCGTACATTTTGCTGTGGCAATGCAGACACCTGGGGCACCTCCAGAACCAGTACATTCACCGTTTACTGTTGCACGTTCGACGAGTTCATATGTGATATTGTCGGCAAAGGTGCCAGTGGCAGTAAGGAGTGTGGTAAGTGCAAAAAAGAATGTGATTCGCATGGCTCTGCGTTGGTAACTATAGGGAGGATAGGGGGGTTGGAGGAGTATTAGGGGATACGGTGGAGTTGGAGGGTCCGTTTATAGATCTGGAAGGGATTTATGCTTGGCAGAGATCGATGGGTGTGAAAATTTAGAAGAGATCAATTGGTTGGACCGGAGAAGCCAGTGAGAATATGTCCCTTTTTGACAGCGACTACGGTGCCTAGCTGCACGACCAAACCCTCGCATAGTATTAGACCGTGCGTATGATCTCGTAGACATGTGAGCGTAGAAGCCGAGTGGTCTGGGGAGCACCAGAGGAGAATTATTGACGTCGACATGTGCAAGCGAGGACTATCTCCACAGGTCACTGGTTGAGAAGTATCCTAAGAGGCATGAAAAATTATGCCGGGATATTCTGCTGGAGCAATGGCGGATGGACCGGCCACAGGTATTTGCTTTTGGTCGTCGTTCTCCTCCCATTAACTCCTCCGACACATTACCGCCGTTTGCTCCAGGACAATACGTGTAATGTACTGCGAGTATGCCCCTATTTATCGGGCTGACTACGAGTCGCCGAGGCTCTATTAGTGTATATATACGGGCTCCTTGGAGGCGGGGCGAGTTCCTCATCCAGTCGAACAGAATGATGATTGCTCGAGGAGTCATTCTAACCCTATTACCCTTGAAATGTCCAGTTGATGCGCCTGTAAAAGCGCTTATGAGCGGCCCGGGCTGCTTGAGAGTTCAGTCGGAACTTCTTTCCATGACGATCGTTGAAATTTGCATGATGGAGGAATGAGCTGGTCCAAAAAGAGTTTGCCGACAATTTTATGGCGCAGGCCGTAATGTGTATTTCGAAGACGAAAGGGTCGCAGGTGAAAGTTGACCGACTGGAATTCTGAGGGCGGACGGTTGTGCGCAAGGCATTATACCACACGCTTCCCTATCTCTCCCGGTGCCACCTATTCATCTGCTTTTATGAAACAGACTCTGGACATAATCGAATGTTACCTACTTCATGAAATGGTCCGGATATCCCTGTGGGCCACAAGGGGGTCTGGTAGGACCCCCCTCCTTCATGCTCTTCAAAGAAAAAAAGGGTTCTATTAGAAAGAAAAAGTCTATATAAACGAAACCAACGTGACCTCACTAAACAAGAAACAAGAATTTCCAGACAGAGACAAGGAAACAGGAAAACAAGCACTAGCAAGGGGATACGAGTATTTCTTTTATAAGATGCCTTGAAACTTATGAATCTACACCATTTGGCAAAAATTGGCCTTCCTCTTCCTTGATTTGGACGACGAGGGGTTTGGGTAACCCTCTTGCCTTTTTTCTTCGGGCGTGCAGAGCTTCGAGAGCTTCTTCCCTTGTAGAGTAAATCTGTACAGTATTGACATCTCTTCTCATCATACCAGTCCGAGATATTCTGATGTTGGGTAAAGGCGTAGTTGTCGAAGGGGCTGGATTGCTGAAAGCTTGGCCATTCTCTAGGCGCCTCCTGCCCCAGTGCAATCTCCAATGCAAATACATCCGGAATCGGAGTTGCTCCAGTTCTGAGAGTGAATGTAAATAAGAAAGTTATATGAAAAAAGAATGGACACACCTTCGTCTGCCCACGCCGACCATTGTGTCAATTTTCCTTGAGGAATCCCTGCTTTCTTTAGGATAGCATGCCATGCGTGGTGAATTTTCTACAGTGTGTTGTTAGACTATTCTGTTATGGGAAGCGGTGGGGACCGTACCCCATAGTCTTGGCGGATGAGTGAACCCGCATAAAGCAGCCTTTGATGCTGTTCAATATCATGAGCTAAAGTTAAAAGAATCAGTAAGCCTTTATTAAGGACCAAGAAAGCGTGTCAGCTTACAAGTTGCCCATGGTCCTATTGGAGTGAAAACATGGGCGACACGGATGGTACTGGGATCGATCAAGGAGTGATCCCACATGTGCCCTTCATCGATACAGTTTTCAAGACCAGGCACATCGGCACCCATGTACATTGCCGCGAATCGAACCTCTGCAATTGGCAAGGTCAGTACGGGGTATAGAAAGACATGACTAGTGTATGCCTCACCTCGTCCGATTCTAAACAACCAGGAACCCTTCGTGGGGTCTCCACCTTCCTCTGGGTCAACGCCAATAGGGATGGGACCGATCGCGTTCTCTTCATAGAATCTTTGGTCTCCGTCGATGAAGAAAACGATGCCGCCAGGTTTTAAACACGCCTCAACGTCCTCCATCATCTTTGAAAAATCTTCGATCTGCCCCATGTCAGAGAGCGTCGTGTAGACCTTTAAGGTACCAAA